TTTTTTTTTTTTGCTTTTGCTGTTTTGGTTACGTCAAAACTGGTGGTCTTTCCAATAATAATAGTAATATTTGTATGAAAAAAAATTTTTTTTTTTTTTGTTGGTACCAATAAATACAGCTTTTTTTTTTTTGTAAAATATTTGTCACCAAAATAACACTAGTCAACTGCTTAATCGTCAATAAAAAATGGCAAAACAAAAAAAAAAAAAGAAGGAAAGAAGGAAGGAAGGAAATATAATAAAAAAAGCTAGAAAGATTTACAGGACAAAAAATTCACATAGATTTTTATTATATGTATGTATCTATAGAGCATTTTTCTTTTCTTTTTGCAGACAACATCACTCAATGTTTTTTTGTTTTTGTTTATAGGAGCAACTAATCGGATTAAGTAGCCCGTTGACGTCACACTTATTATTTCATACAAATGAACAATAAATTTGAGCATGATCGTCCACAGTATTTTTTGTTCGTAAGCACAGACATTAAACACTATTAAGGAGGTTTACGGTGAAAGTGCATTAAAAATAATCGGGCAACCAGTGGTGGTGGTGGTGGCTAGCTTACTGGTCAATTATTATGTTCTGTTTCCCGGCCACAATCATAAGATAGAGCATATTTTTGTGCTGTAATTATAGAAACTGTGCTTAAATTAAGCTATCTGTAATATGTCATTTGTCTGAAAGAAGATAAGAAAACAACAAAAAAAACCTAACCTTTTTTTTCTTTGCCTACTGATCTTAGGTGTTGTTAAGTCATTTGTTGACATCAAATTAAAGTGTTTTTTTTTGACAGCTAAAGAAGTCAAATTTTGTATTACCGTCAATGCTGTTACTGTTTATTCCTAAAACCATTTTGAAAAAAAGAATTCTTTTTTTTTTTGTTTGAATAAGTAATTTTATAAACATCTGATATAATTAGAATAATTTTCAGTCATCCATATGGTATAACAGCAAATAAGTGAACAAAAAAGAAGTTGCTAATTTAATTTCAGCTATCAAGTCTGCTTAGTTTTTCTAAACGTTTACTGAACAGTAACACTGTAGATTAGGTACCTAGGCTTAGCTAACTAAAGCAGCTTTTTAACACCGCTTAAGTACACAGTGAAAAAATGAACCTGATCTAAGGTTTATTTTAACGGTGTCAAATATGTCCAATTGCGGAAAAAAAATGTCATTAATTAGGCTTACAGGTTTATCGTCATAAATTTTTAAAAAAATTTCTCAAATTTCTGACTAGACCTAATTTGAACTCATTTAAACTCATTAGCTGCAACAGTTTAAGTGTCTAATAACGACAGGAAAAAAAAACAGAAGATAATCAAAGTATAGAAACGTGTAATTAATTTTATAATAGAGCGTCATCTTTTTGTCTCAATTTTCAACTAAAGTCTTTTCCAATAAGCTTTGATATGACGTTATGTTCTCGAAAACAAAACAAAAAAGCAGTGAGCAAGTTTTCAGTATATTACAACAATCTGATTATTTAGAAAAGCCTCTTGAAAACAAAATTTGGAAATTTATTATGCTTCTATGAAACAGATATACAAAGTTCGGTTTGTTCTTTCCTGTTTATGTTCATTCTGTGAACTGTTGATTGATATGTGACCAGTCGATAAAGTTTTAGGGTACCACTAAGTGATATCAAAAGCTTTTGATCAATATTTACTGTTTAGATGGAAGAAAAAAAAAATGAAAAGAAAAAATAGAAAACTAAAATTTTAAACAGTTTTTTGGTCAACAAACAATTTTTCGTTTATCTTTTTTTTTTTTTTTTTGGTTATCGTTGCTTTAGAATGCTTAAGCAATTCTTACAGCTAACCTTTTCAAATCAAACATAAACA